ATATTAATTATAATTTTTTGTAAGTATGGTTGTAAAAAATGTCATGTCTCCTAGTTTAGGGTTAGTCCTAAGGTATTTTTCTCCACCTATAAGCCCTAATGAGCCATGAGCTCCCCCTTCAGTCAAGATTCAGGCTAAGTACTAAGACAGCATTGATTGCCCTTGTGGATGATCTTTGGAGAACTTGAGAAGTGAGTGGTGTGTTCACCCTGGCTCTTATGGATCTCTCAGCTGCTTTTGATATCATCAAACATTTTGCTGGACCAGCCTTGAGGATAAGCATGGGAGGACACTGTTCTGCTGTGGTTCTTCTTTCTCCATGGCAGGCAATGTTGATAGGCGAAGAAAGGTCCATCTCTCTAGGCCCCTGTTATCTGGGATGCCTCAGAACTTAAGTTTGCCTCTCTTATTTAATATTTATATGAAGTAGAGAGATTATCTGCTGGCAAATGGTTATGCTATGATAGCTAATATATCAGTACCCTGTGTGGGCAGATGCTACTTCAGATCCTGGTTCAATGTTTGGAGGTTGTGAGAGTCTGGATGATGAGAAACCAGCTGCAACTTAGTCCCCTCTGCCCCCGCCTCCAATATCAGGAGAATTGATATCTCTAACTCTGGATGGGGTAACTGTCAGGCTTGCCCCAGCTATAGGAAAGAAAGATCCTCAACTCCATCCAGAGGTGGGATTCAGCCGGTTTGCACCAGTTCAGGCGAACCGGTTAACTTTTTGCACAGTTCAGAGAACTGGAAAATCCCACCACTGGCTGGGCCCTCCTCCTCCCTCCCCTCCCAGGAGTCCCAGCCACTCCTTATTTAGCGCCCTCCCCCCAATCTTGCCAGCCTAAACAGCCTGCCTCATTCTCGGCCTGAATATCCTGCTGCCACTGCTGCTGCTGTCACCATTTCCAAAGTGGCTGTTCAGGCTGGTAATGAGGCGACAGCATGCCATTCAGGCCAGCAATGAGGAGGCGACAGTGGTGGCAGCAGGCTGGAAATGAGGAGGTGGAGGTGGCAGGTTGTTGAGGCTGGCAATGAGGAGGTGGAAGTGGCGGTGGCAGGCTGTTCGGGCCAGCACTGAGGTGGCAGCAGGCCAGTGTCTTGGGACAGAGTCGTGCCCAGCTTTGTTGGCTGCACCAACAAAAGCCGGAAGTAGCTGTCTGCTGTTTACTGCTGCAAAAATCTTTTTAGAAACCCTGACTGTCAGGCAATAAGACCCAGCAAGAGATGAAGTACCAGACAATCAGCCCTGGCTGCTTCTCTCTGCTGTTGCTGTTGCTGCACAAAGATAAATACAAGGGCGCTTTGCTTCTGTAGTAAGGCTCTAACCTCCGCCATCACTGCTTCAGTCCTCCTGCAGCACCCTACCTTGCCATGAGTGATGTCGAGTTGGTCACGCCCACTCAGTTAAATGATCCAGCCAGCCACACCCACTCAGCCGGTCATTAGGAAGAACCAGTTGTTAAATTAGTTGAATCCCACCACTAACTCCATCTAGTAGAAGTGATAAATTCTTTTATTTTTTTTATTTTTTTTAAGTAATCTTTATTAGTTATACATTTTTTAAAGAGTAAAACATATAAATACAAATACAATTTTAAACATACAAACCACCCTCCCCTCCCTCTCCCCCACGGTGACAGTCATTCACAGCCCAACTTTTTTTCCTTCCTCATTGTTAGGTCTCTAAGCCACATCTTCTCATTACAAAATTCAGGGCTCTATTACAATACCCATGTTCACTTTTAACTTTCCCCGTTTTAAGT